AAAAAGTTTAGATATTTGGGAGCCATTATTCAAAATGATGGCGAAATCAGTGGAGATATTTTCACATAGAATTCAAGCTGGGTGGTTTAATTGGAGAAAAGTTAAAGGAGTTATTTGTGACTGTAAGGTGCCTAATAAACTTAAAGGAAAGTTTTATCGCACTGCTATCAGACCGGCAATGTTATATAGTAGTGAATGCTGGGCTCTAACGGGACAGCAAGAGCATAAAGTTGGAGTAGCAGAGATGAGAATGTTACGATGGATGTGCGGACATACACGTAAAGATAAAATTCAAAATGAGCACGTACGCAAAAAAGTGAGGGTGGCACCTATTAAGGAAAAAATAGTAGAAAATCGGTTGAGATAGTTTGGGCATGTACAAAAAAGACCAAGGGAGGCACTAGTGAGAAGAGCGGAACATATAACTTTGAGTCCGATTAAAAGAGGTAGAGGAAGGCCTAAGAGAACACTCTTGGAAGTTGTTGAACGCGATCTCTTAATTAATAATATTCCTAAAAGCTTGATAAATGATAGAGCACAAGGGCGTCTTGCAATCCATATAGCCGACCCCACCTAGTGGGATAAAGACTTGTTGTTATTGTTGTTGTTGTAGAACGGTAATTTACCTTGTTCTCAATGTAAGTAGAGTGAGATTGATTGAAAGGGAATGAAATAATTCAATTTTTATAAGTTTATTAGAGAAATAAATTGTCTTTATTTGATAATTATTTAAGAATAATTATAAAATGAATATATTTAAATTAGATATAGTTATGTTTTTTAGTTCTAGGGTAAGAGGATGCAAGAAGTGAGAGGAGGTAAGAAGGATGGGGTAACTTTGTAACAATTTTACATATATCGTACCATTCCATCCTTGATAAATGGGTGTAGGATGGCAAATGCAGGCTTGAAATGTCACCCCAGTCCCCAAGCCACTCCACTCTTCTTAAAAAAAATTCTTTCAAATAATGGTATAATATTTTAGTCATCCCACTTCATTTTCATTTCGTCTTAAGAGAAACTGCCAAACATTGTCTTAAATTGGATAGGAGGGATGCCAAATGGGACAATGCAAGAAGGAGTCGCGGAGGGCTAGGAAAATATTGTTAGCAGACAAAGTTAAATGAGGGAGGCAAACTTGAAGTATGGCCCAAGAAACAAACAGTGCTCGTCGCGTGGTACGAAGCAGTGAAGAAGACGTGAGGAGGTAAATAATGAGGGAAGTAATCCATGGAGATTGGAGATAGAAACTCACACCAATGGGGACAGAAAGCTAGACACGAGAGGGTGAGACAGTCATAAGTAAAGTGAATTGAAGGGGTGGGACTCGTGCTAAGGAAGGAAGACCAGAACTGCCGTGGCACCCACGAAACATTGATGAGGAGGGAATTGAAGGCCTGGGAAGGAGAAAAACATTGACAAGTGGAGAGCAGTTTTGGCATTTTACTGTTCTAGTCATTTATATGGTCTTAAAAAGGACAAAACTGGAGAGCATTTTTTGAATCTCACTGTTAATCTACTGTTCATCGACAATTTGCACATGAGATTGATTGATGATAAATTATATTATTCGTGTTTATAATTTATTTACCATATCATATTTTATATAATATATAGAACTCACATTAGTTTGCAATTCCGCAGTATATAAATAATAATTTTATTTTTAAATTATATGTTCAAGAATGTCAATAATTTTAATTTTATTTTTGTATAATATTCCTTCTCAATTTCTAAAAATTATGTAACATACTGTTTTACTGTCAACAAAGTTAACTTTGACAATAATAAAAAAATGATAGAAAAAAACTTGGGTCTTTGTAATTTTTTGAATTCTTTTTTGTAATTTTCTTTATCATTGCTTGTAATTTTTTGTTATTTTTTGTTATGTTTTGATGATTAAAGTTAACTTTAATTAATAGTAAAAGTTACATCACACCACCATCTTTAAAATTGAGGAAATATTACATAAAAAAAAAGTTTAAGGTCTAAATTACTATTGAGTTTATAGTTGATGAGACAAATTATTTCTTTAACCCTTATTACTTTATTGAAAAATATATTTTAAATAATTTTACGTGAAATCATACATACATGTGAAGTTTGTACAAAATCCAAATTAAACCAATTACACAAAACCAAATTATTAAAAGCATATCAAGGATTAATAAAATTTGATTTTAGACATTTCCAAACTAGTTAATTTAATTCAAGCTCCCATCTTGAATCTCTAAAATTTGAACCTAAAGTGAACATAACCTTTTTTTTATTTTTTTAATATATCTTTATGTAAATATATTTAATTGGAAATGTGGTAATATAGGTTGAGCTCATGAGCTCAACCCACCAACTCACTAAATAGTAGAGGGGTGAGTTAGTAAAAGTGGATTCACTTATATGTGGGTTGGGTTTTTAACCCATCCTGCATAACTTGAACTTGCAGTGAACTAATCCATTAATCCGTGAATTAGCCCACAATTTTTTTAAATTTGACTTTTCATAAACTTTGGTGACACAAAACAAAACCTTTGCCTTATCATTCAGTTTCACCCTTCATCTTTAGAATTGCCCCATTCCTTCTTAATCTTCACTGTGAGTCATCATTGTCGCTATTAGTGTCGTCCCGTTGCCATCGCAACTCACCTCAGTCCAAACTCTAGTGACTAGCAACCTCAATCCTCCTCCTTTCGAAGTTACTTAGGCCCTCGGCTCCAGCCTTTATCTTTTTGCCATGCAAATTCACAAATTAATTTAAATAAAAAAGCTTCCCTATTGTAGCCTTTTTTTTTTTTTTTCCTTTCTTTAACTATATTGTTTTTTCCTTCTCCCTTGGCAAAGTCATATGATAGTCTAAAAGTGCTAACAAGTTGGCATGCAAAGAGCAGCTCATATATATATATATAAATATTCTACACCTTTAAATGGTAATTAGTTATTAACTTGTTATTCTTTCTTTAAGTTTTATCTCACTCGTGTCCAGAGAGTAAATATATTAGTACTTGGTAATAATTTTAAGACCTATACCAACTATGAAAAATAATTAGTACAACTTAAAGCTTTAGAGAAATCAACTCAAATTAATATTATTGTAACTTTTGACAAAGCTTTTAATATTATTATTGATTAAGAAAAATTTTCAAGTTTTAGATTGTAATTTTAATGATTTGGAAGGAATTTTATTATTATTAGATAATTAATTTTTTAAGAAGAAAACATAATTTTTTTATCACACAAAAATAAAAAGAGGTGAATTTATAACTTTTAATATCATGGGGGTTAGCAAGTTGGGCAAAAACCAACCCGTCAAGATGCTAGTTAGCCGACCCGCACCGCATAACCCACAACTCACAATGGGCTAACCTGCAGGCTCATATTACCAGCTCTACTTCGTAGGTAGTTTTGACACAAATCCTATTGAGATATGTAAATGATAATAAGATCATTTAAAATATGATAATTCTTCTCAATGCTTTTCAAACCTATCAGACATTAATGTCATTTATGAAATAAATATAATGCCTCTGATTTAAAATATAAAAAGAAATGCACACAAAGTAATACTTTAATTTGAGTAATAACAACTTTGTTTTTTTGAATATAATTAAAATAGGATAGCAATGACAAGTTTTATTTTACAAACTTTTTAATAACTAAAATTTAAGTATTATTAATGATTACTTTTCCATACAATAATTAAAATGAGATAAGCAATTAGAACTTCTCATTTGCAAAATTGAATCACTTAAATTCAAGTATTGTAAATATTAATGATTACTTTATTTAAATAAAAATTATTTTTATTCTAGTAAAGACTAAAACAGAATAACAAATAACAAGTTCTCCTTTTTTCTCTTATTTTAAATTGGGAGCATTATAATCATTTTTATAAAGATATTATGTCAAAAAAATTTTAAGAGGCTTAAACTAATTATTACATTTGCAGAACTTGATTATCATTTGCATATTTTAAAGAATTTTTTTTGCCACTTTCTGTAGATAGTATTAGTATTTAGGATTAACTAGACCACTCCCATCTTAGAGTTGGACAAACGGGCAGGCACGACTGTAAATGGTCTGAGCTCTAAAATTCGATTTCTCATTTTTAACCTCATTTTTCAAACCCAACCTTTATGTGAAGGACTCGGGGTTAGGCCTATAAACCTTGTTTTAAAAAATAAAATAAAATTAAACATTATAAATTAATTAAAATATTTTAAAATTAAAAAAATCAAAATTTTCATAATTTTTTAAAAATTAACACACACATATAAAAGTCTAGTAAAAATTTAAATTTTGGTTAAAAAATAATTTATTGTTTATAAATAAACAAATATAATAATTTATAAAAAAATAAAAAATATTAAAATTTTATACTATACACTGATATTTATTAAATTATATTAAATTAATGTTAGAATAAATTAAAATTAATAATAATATAATACGTATAAGATCATGTGAGCAAGTCATTGACTTCAAACACATGTTTCACAAAAAAAATAATATAATAAAACTTGAAGGGCAGCCCGAGCTCGAACCCTATTTTACAAAGCTTATCAGAGCCAAGCCCTCAAGCCTTATTACTTAAAAAAAAAATCATTTTCAAAATTCAAACCCTTATTTAAACAGGACCTCCAAGCCCAGCCCTCCAGAGTCAACCCTTATTCCCGACTCTACTCCCATCCCAAACAAAGCTAAAAATAATACTCCCTTCGTTTTAAATTATAAAATACTTTTAGACAAATTCACATACCAATAAACCCCATTAAATACACTTAATGACTTTATCTTTTCAAAACAAAAATATAATTTTTAAAAATACACATCATTTAACATATTAAAAAAGGGGACATAAATTACTCATAGAGAGAAAGGATAATATTAAAATTGTTGCATTTAATGAAACCTTAATTTACCCAAATTTTTTATATTTTGAAACGGAAAAACTCCTTCAAAAGTACTATATAATTTGAAACAATGAGTATTTTTTTTTTTTATATAATTTCGCACGTATGAAGCAGAGAGATTTGCTTCTTTTTTTTTTTTTCTTAATATAAGAATATTTGTAGCTGAGAAAGATGCGGAAACATGAATTTTGTGAATAAGGGGAAAACCAAATATGGCAAACCTCCTAAAATCTAATCGTATACACAAATAAATACATACATATCAGAGGCTCAAACGCAACAGTTGACTGCTCAGAACCACTCGACCATGCACTTCGGATAGAAGCCTGCACCAGCAGCAACATGGTTCATCGCTAGTAGTTCTTTCTGAACTTTTCGTCTCTCATAAAACACCGAGCATGAAATTGATGTGCACTTTACATCACTTTCCAGAAACCTGCCTCCACCTCCACAGTGGTCACATATCTACAAGAGCATACCGACACACGAACATCAACGCAATAAATGACACGCATGGGGGCTAAGTGATAAATGGCATTCATGGAAAGGAAAAAATAAAGAGAAGCAGATAATTGACTGAGATGGTCACTACATGTAACTTCAGCACTACACAGGACGTTCATGTTTGTTTTCCTCATGCATGAACAATAACAACAACAACAAAAACAATAAGACTCATCCCATTAAGTGGGTCGATTTTCCACATGCATGAATGAAGTGGAAAAAGAAGAGTTAAAATTCATTTTTTTTTTGAACTATTTTCGAAGAAGCACCCAATATCCTAAACTCTTTATTATAATAATATTGCACTTAAAGTAATTAAACTATAGAAAAGTTGCTCATAACGATAAATGGGCAACTTGACCATTAACTTCACTAACTCAGACTTATCATCAAGGACAATATTGCTACGATTTGAGTCAAACTTATTTTTGAATCAGCAAAATTAACAGTCATTGTTTATCCATTTAATGTCAGGAGCGATATTATTACAATTTAATTACTTTAATAGCAATATTGCTATGATAAAGAGTCCAAGACATGAGGTGTTCCAATAAAAATAGCCCAAGAACAACAATGAACCTAAAATAGCAGCCTGGAAGAGGGACGTGTGAAATATTTCTTGATTCCTTGAAACAAATGATTAAATTAAAAAAAAGTAAACAATTACTTACAGCAACAAGATGCTGCATCTCTTGCTCCAACTTTGATGTTTTACTAATCACAGCCGTTGCAGCGGCCACTCCATTTTCAGAGCACTGAATGCATATGTGTGCAGACGCCTGAACCAACCCGCCACACAGTATACAATGTTTTGACAGATAATACGAGTCAATTCTCGTTCGATGTGAATTTGGAGCAATGAGATGCTTTACACGTGCATCCTTTAAAGGACGGGGCATCTCTAAGAACCATTGGTTCAGGTCAGCACCAACAAGCCCAAACACCCGCTGCAAAGCAGGTATTACTTGTTTATTGATGTAATACAAGTCATTTATTCTGAGTGGGGAATTAAGTGCCAAAACTTCCAATGGATCCACAACCACGTCAACCAGGCGGGCTCCAGGCTCTCCGTGGATTACAACATAAGGTACTCTCTCAGCATAACGCGGTTCTGCCCTAGGGTCAAATCTCATTGCCTTGGTGGCAACAATTGCAGCTGGAGGTAAAGATGATGTCCTTGCACTATAGCTACCTAAACGAACCTCCTTAGCAAAGACAAAATCTTTAATGGAGACTTTGCTCGAAAGAATTTTCTTCCACTGACGTTGCAAATAACTTCTCACCTGCATTCAGAGGAAAACAAGGTGAATGACAGCAATCCAGGCAAAACTAATATTGTTACTTTTTCAGAACAATTACCTGAAATCTTCTTTTTTCTAAGTATTTATTTTCACCTAACAAAAATCCTAAGAATTTTTTAACAAGAAAAAAAAGAGGGGAGGATTGGAAGGTATAGAAAAGCGGAGATCATTTCCATCAAGAAAACCGAGCAAACTCTAGAAAGTGTGATTACAATATCGAAACAATAGTTTCTGCCCAAAGTATAGCAAAATAAAAATACATGACAAAGGAACTATTCACTAAGTCCCACGAAAAAGATAACAAAATAAATCAGCAAGCATTTCTACCTCCGATAAATCCTTATTTTCAAAAAAGAGCCTCAAAGACTGTTCCATTATCTTTGCAACTGCACCACACGTGTCTCTACGAACTGTCTCAATACCTTTAGCATCAAAAACTGGCTCACCTTGATCAGGGCTTTCATAACTGTAACCAACATACCGCTTCTTAGTAAGGAGGAAACAAGGCTGATAAACTTTCTCCAACTTCAGGGTGACAGGACTAGGATTCATAGCGGTGACAGCAGAAGCAATCTCACTCCCTATTTGGAAACATTCTTTAATAGTGCGTCCTTTGAGAAGAACAAACATGCTGCATGAGAACAGCCACTTTATGACATTATTTCTCGGGGGGAAAAAACATAAGGACAGCCATAAAAGAGATAGGAGTGAGGTCAATATTTAATATCACTTAAAATAATAAATACTGATCATTTGTCTAAATTTAGATCTTTTTCTCCTCCCGTACATGTAATGTGATTTTGCAGTTGCAGTCACCGGGTAGATTTAAGGTAGGTCATTGGTATTTTCGGGAGCAACAGGTGCATCCAGAAAATCTGCTGGCTTTTTTGACCAATGACCTCATCAATCAGATTCTTATGACTTTAAGATCTCTTTTCATGTTGGCTTTTTCCCCCGTTTTAAAGGAAATGGAACAACACAACAAAAATAAGTTTCAATTACCAACTTCAAAAAATAATAATTAATTAAATCAAAAACAAACTCTAGACCATTCAAGTTATATCTAAACTGTTCGCTAGCTTTGGTTGGAAAGAGCGTAAAGCTATTTCACAGTTTGCTATCTTGGCTTAATATGGGCGTTATTGGTTAGAAAGGAATGCGAGTGTCTAATGAAAAAGTTCTGCCTTCTTATCTGCTGTGGACGGAGTTGCTTTTTTGGCCTCCGAGTTTCAGCAAATGATCTTTTTTTTTTTTTTTTTTTGAGAATAGGTGGTTTCCTTATGGATTTTTACAGAGGGATTGGAAGGCTCTTTAGAGCCCCCCTTTACTCCTCATTTCTTTGTACTGCTTACTTATCTTTAACAAAATTATTATTTCTATCGATGTATTTTAACCTGTACAGCACACAAACCACAAGTTAGAAATACTGCAGCAATACCTATCAGTATCTCCATAAATGACTTTTGCGTTCCACTTATCATGCTGATTTACAAATGATATAGCCCTTTCCAGCGTGCAACGGCCGCATTGAACAATACTGTCTGCAAGCTCTGCACAAGGCATACGACCACTAAATCCAGCAGCAGTGTAGCCATATGTCACATTTGATATAAGCTTCAAAGCAAGCTGTCTTGCATTAAATATCTGAAACAGAGATTGTAGTACTTTCAAGTTACGTCCATATGGTGCACATACAAGAACCACTTACAAACTGTTACGAACCAGTGAAGCTCCCTAACTAGTGCTCGCAACAATATTAACATAAAGCTCAACACAAAATGTAGAATGCAACGTGATAAGGGCACTGAAGCGGGCTTTTGAGGGCAAGTACTCTCCTAACACCACTTTCTCAAGCACAGATCTTGATATCCCCCTCTCTGGAATGAAGGTTCTAAACCAAAAAATTATGTCCAACTACTCAAAAAATGCAATGCAAACCTATATCATAACTATCCCTCTAGGTGTCCCCCTCCATTTTTCCTCTACAGGCATAAGCCTTTCATATTCTTCAATAAATTGAGAAAGAGATCTATCACAAACTCTCCCATGGCAAGTGAATCAAATCTATGAAATGTATAACATATTGACATGTACTGGCACAAATAAAAGTTCTTAAGATTAAAGCTAATGTTAAAATCAAATTCACATCCACACCCGCTGAAGGACTTGCTGTGAAGGAGCCAACTTTTTCATTGCTTGTTTCACCATTACCCTAGTTGATAAAATTTCTTCCAACAAGTGTGGCAGTATACCTCGACGAACCTGTATGAAACACTTATACCATAAGATTGCTGTCACAAGTTTAAAGGATACAAATAAAAGACTTGCTGATCGCATTTACAATAAAAGTTCACATGCATGACAGTTGAAAAGAGGCTTGACAAAGAAATAATTGCATGACTTCAGGATGACGATCAGCTGAAATACAAACTAGCCTGATATTTATAAGGGAAAAAAAACAGTTCTGTCAAACCTATGGTATTCATTCAGGTCAAAACATAAAATAAAATATAATTCAGATGGCAGACAGCCATTCAACACCGGTTAATAGTCAGCAGAGTATCAAAGATTTGACAAAATCACCTTCGAAGGAACAAACATAACACCGTTTGGAGTAAGCAAAATCTGATCTTTTAGATCCCGCAGAACATGTTGCTCTGGTGAAAATGAACTAACCCCAAGCGTGTTTTCTTTTGATGCCACAACTTTGCCAAGGCACGTACAAAAGCAAAGGTTGTATGCAATTATCATGGATGGATATAATGACTGAAAGTCAAATACAATAACCGGATCTGAATAAAATCCTGACTCTGGTTCCATCACAAGAGGCAGGCACTCCATGGCAGGTTGAGAAGCAACCTTAAATGAGGCAATGATGAGTCAAGTGAAGAAAGCAAACATTGCATGATAATTAAACAATTTTTGTCTCTCGATAAAATGATTGTGTAAACAATAATTTTTCTTATATAAACTTCATCCAAGGACCAATCATTTCATTGTGTTTGCTGCCGTGTTCTGTTATTATGAGGATTTCTTATAACATATATACACGCAATACCACATAACTAGACAAGATGAAAACTGCAACGGTTGAATTCAAAAATTACATCATGTTAGGCAAGAGTAAGAACTGGACCAGCATATGACAGTGTAGGATAAAGTCAAAATTTTTCAGTGATGGGTACCATGTGAAACACATACTAACGGAAAAAGTGGGGAAAGGGGGTAGAGGTCTGACTTGGCCATTCAAAGGAGACTTATTAATTAAACCAACCACTTTGCCTTTAATTCAGGATTTTAGGCGGTAGCATATTAAGGACCTTTTAGGCGAGTGTATCTGTTATGATAATTCATTGTTGGTAATGTATCTTAGGCTTAGGGATGTGTCAGTAGTCAGTTATGCTTTCTAGTTAGTTTTTATTTTTCTTTGCATTATAGATAGGCGTATGAGTATGATGTACTGCAAGAATCAGCTTAGGATTGAATTCTTATTGTAATTTGGAGATCTTCCCTGGCTTTATTAGCATGTGAGTTTAAGATTCTTGCTCATATTCCGAAGAGCTCCGATTTTTTTAAAAAACAGTGTAGAAGAATGCGGTTTACAATAGGAACATACGGACATTTTACATCAAAGCACTGATATGTATTCACATGTATCTCATTTCGCAGATAGATAAGTTGTGAAGGGAAAATATCATGCAAACCTGTTGATTCCCAGGAGAGATGGCGAGATAGTTTTGTGTATGTGCCAACCTCAGAAACATCGATTCGACACGGTATTGTGAACCTCTGGAGAGAACAGAAAAAAAATCTATACCAAAAATACGAGCAAGTTCTGATGTTCGATTAACCTACAAAAGAAAAAAGAATCAGCACAACCCACCAGGAAATAAAGATGATTAGGAATCACAAACATCAAAATCAAAAGTATAAAAAAGAACGAAACAAAAATAAAAATGAACAAAAATGAAATTTTAACTTATTTCAGATTAATAAGTTAGCTTTTATGAAGCAAATTAAGGAATCGAATGAGCCACAAATTAGCTCGTATAACTAGCTAGAAAAATGAGCTATAATAAAGTGTAAACACATTTATATTCCAATGCAACAAGACAAACATTAAAAAAGGCTCCTGTAAGAGAATATCACAAAAAGGCTATCAAAACTATGTGCACTAAAGACCCATAAAAGAAAATTTGGGCTATCGAGTCATATGCTATCATACCATATCAAGTTGGCTTAATATCTCAAGATTCAGCTTTGCTCTCTCAGTAATATATTTGACACACTGATACCTTGCTCCTCCAGGACCACCAGAAAACCATTTGGTTAGGACCTTGTTGTGAATTGAAGGAACTTTCCTCCTCAATACAGCTTCAGCTACAGCTTCAACTGAGTATAAATTGAGCTTAACTTCTCCACGGATAAGTCGCCACACATTAAGCACAATTCTGCCACCAACATGAACTCCACTGGAATGTGTTCGTCCCCATTCATCCTCAATTATCGAACTTTCTTGTACATCATCTGCACTAGATATATCAGGAACGGCAGTTGCTGATATGTCTTTTTCAGAAGTTTCAGTATCACCAGAAGTAATCCAAGAGTCAGATGGAGTACGAGATAAACTATTAAGTAACCCTAATCCAAGATGCAAAGCCCTTTCTGCTAAAAAACCAAGAGAACCGCCTTGGATATCCCAACCCATCAGAATATCTGGATCATACGAAGATACAATATTAATAAATTTTTTTAGCAAGTGCTTTTCATCTGTGAAAACCAACACCTTGCAGCCTGATAGACTCACAAAATTTCTGCAAACAAATTAGCATGGATATCAATTTCACAAACACATTCTAAGTTTGGAACTTAGAAGAGAGATATAATTTCTAATTGAGGCATAAAGGTGTGAAACCACAAAAAATGAGTCAGTCATAAAACGACTAGTTGACAAATGCAAAGTCATACCACTTTCACCCTACCTTTGACAAGGTTCTAGTTTACAATGCAAAAGGACGAGAACATCAACAACAGTGTCACTATCATTTTGAAAACCAAGAGCTACAATGTTGATGGCATCAAACTGGGGATCAGGTAAAAGTTCTCCTCTTGATTCTGCAAGAACCTGCCAGTTTTGCGAGCAAGTCAGACCTATGTAACAAAGCTGACAGAGGTTCATTGGAAAACTAACTAAATAGAAAATGTAGTTCCAAAAGATAGTTAAAGGACAAAAAAATCCACACTTTTTTTTAAACTTACCTTCTGAACTTTTTAAATCAAGCAACAGTTACGAAATAGAATCCACACTTTTTTAAGGGATCAAAATAGGAAACCCACACTTGAGCAAAAGATTTTGATCTTTTCATACATGTATAAATCGAATGGACCAAGAAATACATAGTTTTTTAATAAATATTAGTTTTTTAATAAATATTATTCAAAAGTATAGAACAATATATTGGAAAAGGCACTGATACAATAGATATGTGATAAACTGAAAAACTATAACCACGTAATCATCCAAAGAATGAAACAGATATTATGGCTGATTATTGAGTTATCACCACCATCAAATAGGCACAATCAGTAATAGGAGTGGTCATTTGACGCTCCAGTGGGAGTTTTTGTATCTCACTGCCAAAGAATAAATAGACTATATTCCATGAATATTTGTAATTAATGCAATTAGCATTAGTTTTGATTCTTTTGATTCTGCTGAGATTAGGAACAGATTGTAGGCATAATTCCTCTCCTTGATTCTCTCAAGTAAACATTCACGTAAGCATGAATATTCCCATCGGAAATGTAAGAGAGCATTATCTCTTCTACCCTCTCTTATCCTTCCTTGATAATCAACTAAAACTTGACTCCAAATGCCTAACATGAAAATTCAAAAGACGTCTAACAACTACAAAAAAATTTGCAAATACACCAATATTAAGAAAAGCTTGATTTCTAATACCTCAATACTGAGTACCGTCAATTGCTGTCCACAGCCAATTCTTGCAGGGTCACAAAATCCAATTTGACTAAGAGGAGTAGGCGTTGATTTCCCATCAGGGCCTGATATCTGAGAAGTATCTTGCGAGCCGTCCAAGCTTGTTTTGATTATATTCATTTCTCCACTGCTGATGCATGGAGACTTCTTTTCAGAATCAACATCTTGGACATGTTTAGACATAAGACAAGGTCTTGTATTCCATTTAGGCATATGCTTCTCCTTTGCATCAGATTGTTGAAACATTTGATCTGGAAAGCGGAAGCCAGGATCAACCAAAAATATGCTAAATGATTTTTCAGATAGTTTTAATAATCCTAAAAAAATTTTGCAACGTGAAATTTTGCTCTAATAAGAACACAATATACCTTTCAGATGTGAAGGCCAGCAAGAACTTTTTATACTTTTAATGTATTTCCAAACAAGATCTAAATCCTTTAATTTGTTATGAATACATGATTTAAGCAATACCTCTCTCGTCACAAAGTAGCCATCTCCGAACATTACCCTCAGAAGGAGGCAAAAATTTGGGTTTCAATAGGCATAGATGAGAGCCATCATTCTGATAGTATTTGGCAACACCCAAGACCCTTTTCCCCTTAGAATCCGGGGCATTATCGGCGACATGCTTGTTCCAAGTTTCCATCTCATTCTGGTAACTACCAGCAGAAGCAGGAATAACATCATCCAGAGGTTTCACTTCAACAAACAGACAAATGTAATAGTCAGTTACTACGTTTCATCGATCAGGCAGCATCATCAGGCTGAAGAACACAAAGAAAATGAACAAACTAAGAAAAGTGTTCTGTTATAAAAAGCTGAAGTTTAGAAAATAAATTATGGTTACAGACTTACAGTTAGTCACTTCCAGGTTCAGGAGGTTTTTTTTTTTTTGGCCTGGGGGGGGGGGTGCTGAGATTCCGTTAGTTCATCAACACTTTATGGACAATAACAAACAAGCATTTGAAACATATGTATCCAGAACCAAGATTAGACCATGAGCAAAAAAGATAGAAGCTGCATACTTTTGCTACCCTATGAGTTGCAACCAAATATTAGCAACAATAATCCTATTTCCACATAAAGGTAGATAATTCCACATAGCCCTTTCAATGTTTCCTATGGAAGTGCTAAATACCAAGCACCCTCAGAATGGCAGGCTCTATGCCCCACAAAAGTATAAAGAAGGCAAATGAATTAGCACAGTGAGATTGCATTCCAACTTTGACAGAAAAGGCACACTACACAGATATCACAGGCATATGGAACCAGGCATGGTTGGCAAGAACACATTACATCAGGGATTCCTACCTGCCATGGCAGATGCCCTTGTAGAGGTTAATCTCATGTGATCACCCATAATGTCATTGATCGAAGGTTCTATGCCACTAGTCTCATAAAAACCCAAATTCTCTCTAGGTCTTTTGCCATCACTTCTTACACATTGCAATACTTGAATGTCAGTTGCAGTATTCGCACCCACAACAATATCACATGACCTCATCTGACCGTGTTGCTCATAAGATTTGCTTCCATAAGGACATTTATACATGCAATTATCTCTGACAGACTGTATATTCTCAATCGAAGAGCTTTGCACACTACCTAAGGCTGCCATGTCAATTTGTGGACAGTTGTCAGTTTGTACATGTGTTGAGTCAACCTTAAACTTTTTACCACTGGAAACCTCTGAGTAATCAGAAGAACTAGTAGAGTGAAACTTCTTCGGTCCACAGAGACTCAGTCCGGTTTGACTGCCAGCTACAAGGGGTGCTTTCCTACACACTAAATCATGATTGGTCATTTTCAGGACACAGCTCTTCTGGACTTCTGTTTCTCCATCAGTTTTGAGTTTCTCATCCCCATCTAAATGTAGTTTTTTAGTTATTTCAGATTCACTGTCAGCTTGTTCAACTCGATAGCATCTCTTTCTCCTCATCAAGTCCCGCACAGAGCAATTATCCAGTGTTTGTACTCCTTTTATGTCTGAAACACCTTCATCCCCATTCTTTATGCCATTATTCTCTATCTCATTTCTGGCCAAACAATCTGAGTCAACAGATTCTACAGTTTCCTTTTCAGAAGTATGGCCACAATGTAAACTAGCATGATCAAAATTGTTATGGGTCATTGACAATGGCAAAGTGCCCCATACTTTATTCCTGTTATCTTTGCTATAAGTATTTGTTCTGGTATTTTGCAGTATACAGTGTTTGGAAGACCTCTTGGATTCACCTTTTTGGTCCAGTGCAAATGAAATTCCCTCTGAACCAGAACTTGGGCTTGCAAACTCATCATCGGCAGAACCATCAACTTGGGGAATCATATTGTTTGATGAAGACTCAACAGGACAATTAAAATTTGAGGAAAAAGGTGGCTTTCTCTTTGATGACTCCAGCTGAAGTTGATCGTCAATGGAATCAAGAATATCTTGACACTCCTTTTGGGACTCACTTTCGTAATCCATATTAGCTTTCTCCAGCACCTTATCAATTGTTGTAGCAGGTAACAAGGGACTCAAAATGGTTTCACGAATAAGTTCATCATCAGAGTTAATATCCTCTGCAGCTTGAGAAGTTGCAAGCCACTTTAGGAGATTCAATGCTTCCTTATCTGCAGCCTGAAAGACATGGAAATACAGATATACATGAGGTACTTTCAGAAACAGTTTACTTCTGAATAAACCCCATCTATATATCTACATATAAAATAAAAACTATAACAAGGTATCATGAGCCATGAATGAGTGCTAGTCCAAGGATGTTCCTATCATTAAACAAATCGTTGAAGTAACTTTCATCAAATTCATTTAGGAATGTCAAATATATAATTCAATCATCTATTCACATGTTCAGAGATTCAAGGGTAAGAATCTTCATTTGGTATTCATTAAAAAATTGGAAAGAAAATGTTGCCTTTTTGCCCTGTGTTCCAATAATCTCAGATGATTGCATTTCATCAACAGTCAACAATCTGAGATTTGCCTCAGTCCCTTCTTCATGCAATTTGGCATCTTTGCATAGTGAAGCTGGTGGCGATGCTGAACCTATTATGTCTGTTTCTCTGCAATAATGTAAAATTTGTCCACTAGTGTTGCTAGTCGAAACATATAAGAGAACTATATGACTGTATGGAAAAAATGGCTACATACAAACCTCGACTCTTCAGATGAAATAAAAGATGCACAGGTTTCAGCTTCACAGCACATTTCAACAAATTTTTTCTCAAAGTCAAGACCACCAGAAAGACTTCTCATAACAACTTCTGGCAGTGGCTTCCCAGTATCACGAGTTATAGTATCCTCATAAATGCCAGTCCTTTCTTGCTGCTCCTGAAACAACATAGAGCAATTAAATTAGTTCATTCTCACTTCTCAGACAGTATAATTTGTAAAGCGAGTCTTATAAAGACAGATGGCTATGTTACCTTCCAAATTGGTACAAGAGACTGAACCTTTTGCACATCTGATCGGGTTTGTGAGAGGGACGAATACATTTTAAACTGCTGATTAAGAATATCTGACAAACCAAATTATTTCAATAACTTCAGCCAAAAAAAAAACACACTCATAAGATAAACTTATTATTTAAGTAAATATGTTTGGGTTAGTATAATAAAACCATCTACAGAAGCATCGCCCTCCAGTTCACATGTGCTTTGACGTTTAGGGCAATGAGCCTCATGATTTGATGAAGCATCCAATTCACTTGGAAGTTGCCACATCCGATCAGGTGAGACCATTGATAAGGCCCACGCTGCTGGCCCTAAACACGCATCACCATCCGTATCAGCCTAAAAATATTATGTAACTGAATCATAAATGTCCATGAGGGACATAATTAGATATAAAATTGGTAGGTTAAACAGTGAAAAAGTCTTGGGCGATTGTGAAATTTTATGACACACAAGTCAACTCACCCCTGTCCGTTGATTATTGAAAATCAATTTCTTGTGAGAAGAATCTGGCATAGGATGGCGGAACTTCAACTTTAACAAGTGCAGGAGACCCATGCCATACAAGTTATAGTCAACCTGGCAAACAAAGAAAGCTCATATCTTTACAAACCCATTCTTAATCTTATTTCTAATTAGTAAAGGGAGATTGATAATAGTTTTAAATTTTCAAATTTAAGTAACAACCCTCTAAAAATATCTTTCTAATTTAAAGTTAAAGTTTACGTATTAGAGATAGTGATACCATAAGAACAAACCCATGCATGAGGATACATTAGCATAAGAATATCTAATAACAACATCCAAGCACAAAGCTCAGAAGACAGTTGCTGTACATTACAGACTCACCCAAGCTATTCCCACCATATGAATAAAGAAAAGAGAACATAATATTGGATCAACTCAATTAAGCAGGTAATTATGACCAGATGCTTATGTCTACCTACATAAGAAAATATAACTAATTCAATTAGAAAAACGCTTCATCATGTTCACTTACCTCACTGCAAAATAATGCAGTTTGAATAGTTCATGTAGAGATACGTACCAGAAACTGAAGAATGAAGGGAATATGTGATTCATAGGGCTGTAAGCTTTTGCCAAGAACAGCACCGACCTAAAAATGGTGTGTCATTATGAAAGCTTAATCTTCACTGCATCATATCAAACTAAGGACCATTTTTCCAATGAAAGAATTGACTCTAATCAAACTGTACCAATAGTAGATTAGCAGCACGGGAGACATCTTGTGGATAATATCTTGAAAAATTTGTGAAGGCTTCCAATAATTAGAGCATGTTATCAGTTTAGCTTTTACAGGTCATCATGCCATCAGCTTTTACCGCACATGTGATGACTTATTAACAAGAACAAAGGACAGAACAAATATAAAGCATCAGGATACAGGTATATCTTCACAAATAATTCCTCTGATGAATGATAACCATAAAATCTCCTTGCTCTTACAAGGCTGCAGCCATGTACATGTTGTCTTGTCAAACCGCTGCTGCCTTTTAGCTGGGCAAGTTGAAGAAAAGCTTACTAAATCCCCATTTGTAATATTACAGCTATAAGTAGGGCGGCATAATAGAATACGATAGAGAGGTCGAACTCATCTAACGTGATCAAAGATACCTTCAAGGCTTTCTCAAGAGATGCAGATACCTTATATGTGTACGCATCTCCTGCTCAATATCAAGAAAAACCCATTCAAGTTATTAAGCTGCTAAACAAAATGTAAAATATTTCTGAAGCATGAATACTTCTGAGAATTTAACAAATCAAAAACATCATCAGGAATATTTGAAATTGTTAAGCACTCCCGCTAATGGACATTATCACATCAGGTATGAACAGAACACACTCTCATTTATGAGAAATTAAGAAGGATGAAATAAATTGAGTTTAAAATTAAGATGCCAACAAGTGCTTGAGAACAAATGTCCTGCATAACTTAAGAAATGCCCCTAAAATTCTACCAAAAAAAGAACAAGAAATGCCCCTAAAAATTAATTTAATAAAAAACTAATTCTAAACTTTATCTTACCTTCTTGATCTGACTGAAGAGGTATATCAGCGCATGGCACATACATGTACGGCAAAGCCTGCAGAGCATAATATGGATATTTCAGCCATAATGTTAAATAAAAAAACATAAAGTAAATTTAACGACATTGAATGATTGAATAATTTTAAACCAAAAAAAGAGCGTCAAAGGAATATAGATCTAATAATGTATTTATGATAATAACAATGTTTGCTACCACTTGTACCTATTGTTAATCACCAAATGTTACAACCTCAGATAGTGACATCTTACCCGATGTATATGCAAACAAGTTTTCTGCCCAGCTGGAGTAGAACCGTATATTCTTATAACGGGAACCTCATTCACTTTCCCACCTTAAATCATTAAAAAAAGAAGAAGAAGGTATACGAAGTATGAGTGAGAAAACATAATCTCAAGACATAAGTTTCATCGCCTCTGAACTAACCGAAACTTTGAAATACTTTCACTTATTCATGACATGAAATTATAGAATAACAGAAAAAACCATATAGCTTTCAGTTCAAGATATAAACCCAAAAGGAAAATGTTCTTCAACTGTTCAACATCGTGACCGACATTACTTATTGCCTAAGCCGCGCCATTCATTTCGCTTAAGCGTCCCTTCGGAAGCCCAAATTCTAGTTCATAAGCTAATTGCTTGGAACTAGGTTACAAATGAGTGTCACTTGAACTGACAAATACATCTCTGACTCTCTGTTAAAAGTAAATGAATCGAATATCGTACCATGGAAACTACTGTAACAGATATCCAGGCCTGGAATCGGCTGTGCCATGTAGTAGTCGATAGACACAATCCGTATACTGAACATTTTCGAATTACACTTTGAGTCTGCCATCGGTTTTTCTGAACCTTCGCCAAATCACCAACACGAAGGGGTCAAAATTATAGGTAGCAAGGGAACCGTGAAGAAGTTTAGCTTGGAAGCGTTCGGCTCCTCGGCGCGGGCAACTCCTGTTCGGCCATGAATCCCATCCGTCCAACTAATCGAAAAGTTCACAAAACGCCACGTCATCAGGATACGAAAAATGCAAATGCACCGCCCGTTCAAACTCGATCACGGCCTTCCATTTTCCAGATTAAACTTAACACATTTCTGAGAGCTTGTTTGGAGTATCCGTTGGCGGGAAGAGCTTCAAGAGGCAGGTAAGGTCGAATACGATCATTTTCTAACGCTGAGAAGAGATGGCACCTAGCAATTGTTTGACATTGCAGCTCTGTGCTGCGAATCACTTCTCAACTCCTAGCCTTTGAATAGCAAACGGCTAACTTACAAGCAACAAAGAAATTCAAATGTACGTGAGAAACCATGAACATAACAGATCATTCTAAAATAGAGCCATCCTCTCTAGAAGAATCAACTTATGGTGTCATTTGACCCTCAGATGCTACACCAAAAAAACCCGCACGAGACAACGAGAAAATTGAAACCCCACCAGAGATTGGAGGAAGTTAAGACTGGTCGAAGAATGAGGAAGGGAGGAATGAAAAAGTAATGAAGAACATGGAAGACGATGAGTCACGTGTATAACTCTTCGACGAAGCTGTGGAGATTCCCTCTCTCATGACGACGCGCGACGGAAAAGATTACGGGCTCCGCGTCTGGTCACCGAATTCGTCCGAATGCGGTGAGGCTCGAGGGACATTGACGGCGGTTAAAATTTGGCCCTTCTATGGCTAGGAATTTAATGGGGGCGGATTGGACAGTTAGATTGTGATGAAGACTACAAAATTAAATTTAATCAATCAATCCCAATCATCAATCAATTTACAAATTTTCTGTTACATAATAAAATCTGGCAAGAAATTACCTTGAAAGCGTGAGGGAGGAGCTATTTCTCCCATCTGTCAGAAGCATGTAAACCGTTAAATCATCAATTAAATGTAATTTCCCTCTATTAATTAGAGTCAAACTGTCAGTTAATTTTGAACGGCTGGGTTATAAATTAGCTTGGAAGCGTAAGGGAGAAGCGAGTTCTCCCATAACCATGAAAAGTGTTGAATGGCCAAATTCTAAATTACCTTCCTTTGCATGGAAGAAAAATTAAAAAATAAAAAGAAGAGAAAACTAAAAAGAGAATATTATCACTCATTCTGTTTAGATAGATAAAAAAAAATAAAAAAGAAAGAAAATAAACAGATATCATAATAACTATAATGCATTTATATCAAAATATATCATGTTTCACGTAATTATAAGTGTAAAAATAAATTAAAAGTAAAAATTATATTAAAATTAACATAATTAAATTAATTTAAAATTAAATTAGTAGTTAAAAATGCATTTTTACATTATATTTTAAAATTAAATAATTTAGTAAAAATATGTTATTTTCATATTTTAAAAATAAAAATGGGCACTTTTACTTTCTGTTCAAACATGAAGACCACGAATGGAGGAATTGCAGTGAGGAATACATTGGAAAAGACGAAGCCATCGATGAAGACCATGATGCTGCCTGGGTTGATTAAAGATGGGAGCCTTGAGCACTGCTACGCATAAAAAATAAAATAGATGAGTGTCTGAGCGCCAAAACTGATAAGAGGAAGGGAGAGGGTAGATGATGAAATGAAATTTTACTCTCAAAATTTCTTTACTCTTAAAGAGAAAAGTTATGAAAAAAATATAGAGGAAAAAATATCTACACCCTGTTTTCTTTCTTCTTACTTTTTCTTTCTTATCCAAATAAAAAAGAAAAAGTTCTTTACTTTTTACTCTCAAAATGCTCCTATATTTTTTTTTTTAAGTTTTCTTTTCAACCAAACAGGACATTAAGGAGACTTGCTGAAGAGTCCTTAAAAAACTGTTTAATCACTCTAAAATCTCATAAAATAATGTATAAACAATCTTCAAGTCCCTCGATCCTTTATAGTAAATAATTTGTTGTCCAATTACCAAATGACCCTTTATTGGGAGAAAATAAAAAAATTCTCGGGCTCCAGCTTGTCCTTCTTCCATCTTTGCAAACTCTCGTCCATCCCCTTCAACCCCAACATCTGTACTCAATCTTCATGTTGATTTCTTGCAATCCGATGGGATCTCTCATTGCCCTCCCACTTCTCAATGCTTCAACCTCGTCCAAATCCAAAATAGCTAAGTAATTTTCTGTTGGAATATTATTTATGAATTAGCATTAATTAATAAGCCCAATAAATTGGTCCTTATGATCTTGTGTGGACCGTGATAGGTGGACCACACATGTGAGCCCAATGGGCAGAGGCCCAACTCACAATCCAGTAGCCGTTAGTTATTTCCTATCTCTTAACTGATTGAGTCAGAGATAATAGATAATATAATTATTTAATTATTTAATAAGGCGGTTATTGATCTGATCTATATAAGACGATTAGTAGGTAACCGCAAACACACGACTGATTTTCCTCTACTTCCATTATCTATGAACTCTCTGAAGGCTTTGGGGACCTGAGGGTTGTGTACCTGCCTACACTCGAGGTAATCGAGATTTCTCAAGTACTCATGGATTCTTCCGGTACGTATACATTATTTTATTTATTTATATGAATTGAGATACATACATTCAACACGTGGTATCAGAGCCAGGTTATGAACATTAATTTGTATATCTCAATTCAATGTCTTATGTTTACAATGATAAGTAATTCTTTTCCAACTTAGCATGTTTGAATTTGATTTAACATGCACGTATATTTCATTAGTTGCTCTTTTCTCCTTTCATTATTGCCTTAATTGACGTTGGAATGAGTTGTTGGTACGTCTCGGGAGCTGATGTCATTAAGTCGTCGGGAATTTCTGTCTGAGATTGTGATTCACAGCCTGCACAGTGTTGTGTTTATGCTGTCAAAAAAAAAGATTTTTCAGCGTCATCTTCTTCCCTGTGCTCCTCACCGGAGTTCTCCTTCACGGCGTCATTACTGTTCTTCGCTGTCACAATCTCCAACAGGAGGGAGTACTTCATGGCGTCGTCCTCCTTCAAGGCTGTCGGAAACTGTCTGGTTCTGGATTGCTTCGGCATCGTCTCGAGCTAGCGACGCGGTGGAGGTTCTGGAGCTGGCAACGTCACAGTTGGTCTGGCAACCGCTGCACGCCGGCGCCCCCTTTGGCTTCGTTTTTTAGCTCGCGGCTGGAGAGGACCCAGAAACGGGTCAGGAATCGAATCTTAGGGATCCAGTTCCATGGGTTCTGGGCCCATTTTCGAATGGGCCCAGAACTTGTTTATAAAAAAAAAGGGTGGAGGCAAAATCGGGTCAGAAACTTTCATGGAGATCTGGGCCCAAATTTTTTCGTTTGGGCCCAGACCAGATTTATAAAAAAAAGGGTGGAGGCAAAATCGAGTCAGAAACTTTCATGGAGATCTGGGCCCAAATTTTTTCGTTTGGGCCCAGACCAGATTTATAAAAAAAGGGGGTTCTATTAATTATGTTTTGACCCCAGGATAAAATTACCTCCTTGGCCCATAATTTATTTAATTTACGAATCAGCCCCATGATATTTTTAGAAATTACATATTAGTCCCTTAACTTCCAGAATTGCAATTTTGACCCAAATCTCTTCCAGAATTACTTATTTGCCCCTGATTAATTTTAAAATTTCACTTAAATCCTGAATTTGTTTCCTAAATCTCAAAAGACCCTAAGAACTTTTAAAATTATTTTGCTTTATCCTAAAGTCATAAAGTTTATGACTTTGTAAATTATTGATGATGTTTAGGATCTTGTAGCATTGATAATGGACATACCCCATAGGTATGACATTATTAATGTGATTTTGATGGTTGGCTTTGAGAATAGGCTAATAGCACTCCTTTAATGTATTAGATATTTATTGTACCCTATAGGTATGAAAATGTTTAAAGCATTATTTTGTATGGACTTTTGTGTGAGCTAATCTTTATGGTATATGAGCCTTCTTGGTGCATGGTTATAGTTGCATAATTGATAATCACTTGTTGGGGAATTCTGTTTTATAATTATGTTATGCACGCATAATTAATATTTCCCATTCTCTGTTTTACGATTTCAATTTCTGCTTTTACGCAACTATCCTTTGTGAAGGCTCTCAATGGGACTAACTATGATGACTGGAAAGAGTCCCTCAATATGTATCTGACTATTTCTGAAAAAGATTTAGCTCTAAGAGAGCCCAAGCCTGTGGATCTCTCTTCCGAGTCCAGTACTTCTGAAATAGCCTTCCATAAACAATGGAGTGAGTCCAACCGGATCTGTCTAGCGATCATCAAATACACAAATGAAAAGGGAATTAGGGACAGCATTCCTGAAAATGATACTGCAGTAGAGTACTTGAAAACTATTGGTGACAAATACAAGAAGCTTAACAAGACTCAAAAGAACTACTATCTGTCACTTCTTGACAATACTCGATACGACGGAGTTTCTGGTGTCAGGGAGCACATTCTGAAACTTGTTCATTACTATAACAAGCTTAAGTCATATGGGATTGATTTGGGTGAAAGTACCTTGGTTTACCGTGTTCTTCAATCATTGCCATCAGAGTATGCATTCTTGAGGACTTCATACAACTCACAAGAAGCTGAATGGTTTGTTGACCAGATGATATCGATAGTCACTCAAGAAGAGGAAGTTATAAAGAAGAATTCCTCTTACTCAATAAACTATATTTCCCATGGCTCTAGCAGCAAATCTGAAGGGTCATATAAGAAAAAGGGGAAGAAGCATGATGCCCTAAAGCCTAATAATCAAACCTTTAAGAAGGATGGTGATAAGAGTGAGAAGTCGAGGAAGAAACCCTTTAAAGGGTTATGCAATTATTGCAAGAAACCGGGTCATATTAAAGCTAATTGCTTCAAATTGAAGAACAAACAAGAAAGTGAAGGTACAACTCTTCAAACTACCCCTCTAGCTCTAGTTTGGTTTGAATCTAACACCATTGAAACTTTCTTTGACTCATGGTGGCTGGATTCTGGTGCCACTGTACATGTTGTGAATTCTCTACAGGGGCTAAGAAACCAGAAGGTTCCAAGTGAGGCACAGAGGTCAGTCTTTGGCATAGCAGGGAGCAAGGCATCAGTTGAATGCATTGGAACTATTTCTTTGTATTTAAATTCTGGTCATGTTTTACATTTGAACAATGTTGTTTATGTACTTCTGCGAAGAAGAATTTAATTTCAACTTCTGCATTGGATATTTGTGGCTATTCATTCTTCCAAGGAAATGGGAAAATTGACATTTGTTTTGATTCCATTAATGTTGGTGTCACTTCCTTGATATATGGTTTATATCAATTGAATGATTGGTCACTTGAACTTCCTAATCTTCATGTCAATGCTGCTATTGGGCATAAACGTCAAAGGCCCAATGATAATTCCTCTATGTTATGGCATCGTCGTTTAGGTCATATCTCTAGAGAGAGATTAGAGCGCATGATCAAGCAAGGTGTCTTATGAGACCTTAATTTCTCAAATTTTGAGACTTGTGTTGGCTGTATAAAGGAAAAATTCCCTGCTAGAGCTAGAACCAAAGGGGCAAAGAGGTTTGAAAATACTTTAGACCTAATCCATACTGATATCTGTGGACTTATCACGCCTCCGGCTATGGGTGGTTTTAGATATTTCATCACCTTCACGGATGATTACTCTCGTCATGGATGGATT